CACTTTCTTACACCTTCTGTAGCACCTCTTTATTTTGATAGGACTGCTTACAAAAACTACTACGCCTCCTGCGAAGCAGTTTTAACTGTTCATAACTGATCTCCAGGCCACTTTTCCAATTCAACTTCCAAAGTACCATTACCAAACAGGCCGAGAGAAACTTAGCCGACATCACCTTGTCGTACTCCTCTCCCGATCAGTGCACTTCTGTTTATATCAGCCTATGTCCGCTTTCTAAGAAATCAAATATAGTTCTCATCAATTCCTTCATCTGCAAGAGCTCGTAATACAACATTCAGTTGTATGCAACCGAAAAAAGTGCTTTTCGCAATCAAAAAAAAGCGAACAAAGAGAGATGAAGCAGGTACAAAAGAGTTAACAACAGCCGATTTAGAGTTACAACAGCCGATTTAGAGCGAATATGTGATCCATCGTGTTGCAATTATTTTGGAAACTGGCTGATTCCTCGGTTTCGGGTCATCGAAGAATCTTTCCGGCCCGCCAGTGATAATCCTCGCAAGCAGCTTTTAAGCAGAGAAGTAGACAAATCGGTAGCTCTTCAAATCTTCCTTATTACCCATTCTGTGCAAGAGAACAGTTTTTAGCTCTTTCCAATTGCGGAGTATCCTTGTTTCGACCAAGTCCGACTGAATCGAAAGGCGAGAGCTTCGTGCCCTCCAGGTTTGACTCACTTGACGCCAGTGGCGGGAGGTACCCAGTTTTCATTTAAAAAGTCGCGCATCTTGCTTCGCTGACAAGTACGGGAGAAATTTGCTGTTTGCTGGCATAAAAAACGAACAAATTTATATAGAATTTTTGTCAGACTCCCGTCTTATTTGTTCAATTCGTTATCCGACCGCCTTTCTCACACTTAACATTGCCGCTGTAGGAATTTTTCTCGCCTGCATTTCTTTAAGCTTTGCTTGTTTTGAACTGTCTCTACCTTCTGCCGACGGCTGCGTCTTTTGAGATCTTCCCTCAGCCTTCGTTCAGTGCGTCTGCGGAAAACATATTATTCCACCGCATTTTATTTCTTTTCATGTTCCTTTTCTTTTTTAACACAGTTTCGTAGCTGAGGAGTTTCTTGGACTAGCTGCCGAAGTAGAATGCAATTCACTCGCTTTGCGCATTCATTTACCAACAGGCATATGTGATTCCAACATTGAATAATAAGCACTTATCCAAAAGCAGCCGTCCGCAAGATCAAAGCTGTCTGCAGTCCCGTACTAATAAAATTTTTTCCCTCTTTTAACATCCAGTCCTAAACGCCACTATTCACAATTTTGAAACAAAAAAAATCATCAAACCTGAGCAGGAACCTTGTCGCAGATCACCAGCCTCAGCTGCGCCTGTTTCCATATCAGGGTGTCTTCTGTCATCGCCTTGTGCCTCATCAATTGATAGATATGCCGATGAATGCGAGTGCTCCATTTCACCGGCGTCTTCAATCAGTATAACACCATCGTCATCGTCACTCTCATCATTCGCTGGCTCCTAGAAAACAAACTCAAGTTTGAGGCAAAAATCATCAAACAGTGTTTGAAAATCATATAAATCTACGAGCAACTGTAGTCTGCTTGCTTGTCACTGCACTGGTAAATTATACACAACTAATTCGCCACTGCTTGAAATCACCTGACTTCCAAATATTCCATAATTCAGCTTTTAGGAGAAAAGGCAAGGAGAAAAAGAAGAAACGAAGTTGTGAAATCAAAAAATTCCTTTAGTCATGTTCGAGACAGAACTATCCTTTTCAAGGTACCAAAACTGCCAGAGTGGGATGCGAGTGCAGGCAGCTAGCGAGAGTGAATCACAGCCAAAGTACTGCGTATTTTAACTTCGGAGATTTAAAGCCGCTGCACATTTCCCCACTGCTTTATTCATCAAATCTGACAGTGGCGAGAAGTAATGATTCACAGGGCAAAGCGAAAATTTTATTTTGATACTCTAATCAACTGTAGTTCATAGCCGATTTTCCAACTGAGAGCAAATTTACCAGTTGATCAGTGTTGCACCTCCTTATTACCACCCCTACTAATGATCTTAACATTCGTTTCGTCTCCAAACAACTGGAACAAGCATAAAATTTTGTGAGGCGTGAGAGACAGTGTTGTCACTCATTTGTTTCTTTTGCTTAGTTGAGCACCATTTAGCTACACATAAAAGAAGTTCCTTTAAGTTTGGTTATTGTAACAGTAAAGGTCGAACCACAAAATTTATAGAGTTTGTTTTTGCCTAAAAATCATTAACACCACACGTGATTTGGAAGACTGAAACAATAGTCATCCTCCAACTACACTGTCATATCGATAGACTAGATTTCACAGAAATGAAATAAAAACGTCCAAAACCTCGCGAGGATCACAATGCTCTGCACTGTTGTTCAGTTAATTGCAAATTATCGATCAAAACTTACAAGATGAGGCCTGGCTCGCTGTGGATGGAACGTGGGTCTTCTATAAGGAGGCGGTAAATCAAATTCTCCTTCTTCATCAATCTCTTCTGCATCAGACCTTTCATCTTCCATCTCTTCTTCCAGCATTTCATCGCCCTGAAAGTTTACCCTTGATTCCTCTGTACGCCTTCGAACGTAAATTATGCCGCTGTCATGTTTGATTTATTTCCTATAGGAATACGGTGGCACATTTATTACTTGTCAAGGCGCTTTCTCAGTCTGCCATAACACTTACTGCCTCATCGCTGAGATTGTCTTCATCTGCAGAAGCTTCACGCACAGCGCTGTCTTCCTCGTCCACCAAAACTGCATGTTCATGCTCTTCCTGCTCTTCCTCCTCTTCATCGCGCCTTCGTTTCTCA